ATATATTAGATTTTAGTACACTGAGCATAGAAGGGGTAATTTAATGACACTACATTTTATTGCATCCGCCATGGCAGATTTAGTTTCCAGGTTATGTGATATGTCATGTGAATCAGAGCACAAAAGGGTTAAACAACCTAATGTCAAGCCATTGTGTTAGGATCTTCTCTTCATTATTTACAGGCTGTAAATTGTTCCAGATTCGCACAACAAAACATGTGTCAATGTGGCCAGTTGGACTGTGTACGAAATTCGGACTGAGTTCACCTGTGGTTGTCAACGGTACCTTTATGGGATTTTATGACGGATGGGTGGCAGGAAGAAAATTTCCTGTTGATATGGCGGGCTTTGCGGTCAGTGTGCAGTTCCTATTACAGGTAATTCAAGTCTCTCTATCATAATTTCTGCTCTCATTTAGTCACACTGTTTTAAATTGAAAGATTTGGGGGAAACATAAGAGAAATGGTGAGTAATTATTAGCTTATTTAATTATGCTCCTCAGCTGCAGATATTATATAGCATCAAATGAGACTGGAAGATGATCATGACTGTGGAACAAATTAGGATTTGAAAGAGGTGATCATAGCCTATTTGAAGATACTGTCCAAGTATTCACCTGACATCATGGATGAAACCCTGTAAAGAATCTCAACCAGAACTTCCAGTAAGCTGCCCAAAATTCTGACTGGGTACATCCAAAATAAAAGTCTAAAATGTTAACACTACACTAGATTACTTTGCAAGAAATGGCAGATAGTTGTTGGTGATGATTTAGAAGAGATTTGCCTTCATTTTAATTATTCTTCTACAGTTGCCTAGAGAGGCTGGAAGAAACCATGAAATGTCATATACAATAGCAGTTCTCCTGAAAGATATTTTAACCTAGTACGCCATGAATGCAAAGCAGGTTCTGTTTTATCTCTCCCAGTTGAGTGTTCCTTGCTTTGGATTGTAAAGATATGGCAGTCTCTGGCTGTTAAAACTTCATGCTATATTCTTGAATGTGTGGCAGTGCCAGCTGAATAATATCATCCATTACCATCAAGGACCACACCACAGCAAGTAGAGCAGGAAATCTTGTGAACTAGGTGGGTTATTAATCTTGTAGGAAAATACTGTCCTAACACTTGGAAAATTTATATAGCTCTAGCACTGTAGCCTTGCATACTTGGTTATCCTGCCACATTTTTTGCTATATACATTGGTCTCTCCAAGCAAATGCTGAAATGGCACTTGTAAATAAGATATGACCACCTCGTTTCATTTCTTACCCATTCATCATTCATGATTATCATCTTACTTAGTAATCTTATAAAGTTACTCCTTGTTTGTGATGTTTACAGTTGTTTATGATATGCAGTCACGTGTTATGGAATAGAATTTGTGTAAATGTATACTGTGATCATTTGTGTCCCACTTAGTGCTATGTAATCTATAGACCTGAAACAGTTTTGTTCAATAATATAAGACTCAAATGGATATGAGATTTGGCACTTGGAATGTTTGAAGTTTGTCTAGGGCAGGTTCGCTCAGGGCAGTGGCAGAATAAATCTTAAAATATAAGTTACATTTAGTGGGAGTACAGGTCAGATGGGACAGAGGTGGCATTGCACCAGCAGGAGAATATATATTTTTCTATGGAAAGGGGAATGAAAATCATGAATTAGGTACAGGTTTTTTCGTAGGTAAGAGAATCGTATCAGCAGTTAACAGGGCAGAGTTCGTTAGTGATAGGATATCATATAGTAAAAAGTAAAGTAAAGCTATTCCTGTACCAGGCCGTGAAGGCCCATAGGGTTGTGAGACGTTGAGGATCCCACACTATCTAGACAATCGGCTCAAAGATGGCAGTAAGGTTGTCAGCCTTACGCGCCAGCCACACTTTACACCCCAGGAAAATTATTCCTGGTAATAAGTCCTGGTACTCATTTCTGTTAGAGGCTCAGTAAACCCCAGGGCCTAGTGTGGCTGGAAGGATTAGGGATAGGATATCACATATAATACTTAAAGGTCACAGAACTAGAACACGTATTTGATAAATTCCTGAAGTACCCTATGAAAATTCTGTTGGCAGATTTCAATGCCAAAGTAGGGAGGGAAAACATTTTCAAACCAACGCTTGGGAATGAAAGTTTGCATGAAATTAGTAATGATAATGGAGTTAGAGTAGTAAACTTTGATACATAAACAAATCTTACTGTCAAAAGTACAATGTTTCCACATCATAACATCCACAAATTTACTTGTGCATCTCCCCATCAGGAGATGCACAATCAAATGGACCATATTTTGATAGATAGGAGATGGCACTCAAGTATACTTGATGTCTGATCATTCAGAGCAGCAGATTGTGATACTGACCACTACCTGGTGGTGTGAAATGTTAGGGAAAGACTGACAGTGAGCAAACAAACAACACACAGAGTTCATATGGAGAGGTTCAATCTCAAGAAATTAAATGGGGTAGAGGGTGAAGAGCAGTATTGTGTTGAAATCTCAAATAGGTTTGCTGCTTTGGAAACCTTGGAAACTGAGGTGGATGTTAATAAATCTTCGGAAACTATTAGAGAGAATATAAAAATGTCTGCCAAAGAGAGTCTAGGTTATTATGAACTGAAGCATCATAAGCCATGGTTCAATGAAGGGTGCTCAAAATTATTAGATCAAAGAAATCAGGTCAAATTGCAATGGTTACAGGATCCAAGCAAGTTAAATGGGGATAATCTGAACAATATAAGATGTAAAACCAGCAGGCATTTCAGGAACAAAAAGAGGGAATATCTGAGAGACAAAATTGATGAGCTTGCAGTGAACAGTAAGAACAAGATTAGAGACCTGTATAGAGGAATAAATGACTTTAAGAGGGGTTCCTAACCTAGCAGTAAGTTAGTGAAGGATGAGAATGGTGATCTGCATGAAGATTCCCACAACATTTTGAATAGGTGGAGGAACTACAGAGTGGGGCGCAGAAACTTCCTTTTTGTGAAGATGCATTGTGAAGGGTGGGGAGGTCACAAAAAAGTGGGGATAGGCTCGACGAACGCAGCAGTCGCGGAAGTTTCTGTCTAATACCCCTCAGTAGGAAACATGAGGTGGATGACTGAGCAGCGTGCGTTTGCCGTCAAAGCCTATTTTTAGAACAACCATTCCTACGTGGCGGTGCAGCGTGCATTCTGTACTCACTTCAGAATTAAGCCCAGAGGTCCGGTTCCCAACCGGAAATCGATTGTTTTGTGGGTAGAGAACTTTAGGACAAAGAGGAGTGTGCTGAAAAAATCATCAGGACCACAACGGATCGTTACAACGTCAGAAAATGTGGAGGTAGTTCGACAGTTGATTTTGAGATCTTTAAGATGCTCCACTCGCAAACATGCAGTCACCCTAGACATATCCAATCGTTCAATGAGCCGAATTCTTCATGAACATCTTCAGTTCCATCCCTATAAGATGGTTGTTGTGCAAGAATTGTCACAACGTGATTTCCAGAACCAAATAATGGTGTGCAAAAGTTATTGGAAACTTTACCCCCTGACGCACTTGTTTTATGTAGTGATGAGGCACATTTTTACCGATCCAGATATGTCAACAAGCAGAATATGCGCTATTGGAGTGGTAACAATCCAGAGACCTCCATGAGAGGCCATTTCACAGTGATAAGGTGACAGTATGGTGTATGTTGCCGAGAGTCGGAGTTATTGGCCCTTTTTTTTTTTTTTTAAGAAACCAATCATGCAGTTACTGTCAATTCACAGTTGTATGTGGACATGATTAAAAACTTTTTCGAACCAGCTCTTGAAGAAATGCATCTAGGAAATGTCTGGTTCCAACAGGATGGTGCCATGGCCCACACAGCCTGAGCTTCGATGATAATTTTGAGGGCAAAGTTCCCCGGACAGCTCATCTCGCTTCGAGGTGACATCCCGTGGGCAGCGCACTCACCTGATCTAACGCCCTGTGATTTTTTTTTATGGGGACACCTCAAGGCAGAGGTTTTTAAACATCGCCCCACAAACCTGCTTCAGCTGAAGAATGTTATTTGGCAGGAAGTAGCCCAAATTCCGGTGCACATGTTGGAACGTGCACAGGGGAACTTCAGAAAACGGTTGCATCAGTGCATGGAGAATGGTGGCCACCACCTTCAAGATATTTTGTTTAAAACTACGTGTTTTAAAACTTTAAAGTATGTTCTTTCATTAGCTAAACATAAATTTTGTCTATCAGCAATAATTTTTCTTTTATTCGCCTTCAAAAAATGAAGTTTCTGTGCCCCACCCTGTACTTCTTTCAGTTATTGAATGTACATAGGGTCAGTGATGTTAGGCAGACAGAAGTCCATACAGCTGAGCTGTTAGTACCTGATCATAGCCCTTTTGAGGTTGAAAGTGCTATTGCAAAATTGAAACTGTATAAATCACAAGGCAGTGATCAAATTCCAGCAGAACTTATTCAAGCAGGTGGCGAAATATTACGTTCTAAGATCCACAATCTAATTACTTCTATTAGGCATAAGGAAAAATTGCCTGATCAGTGGAAGGAGTCTATTAGTGTATCATTTCACAAGAAGGGTGATAAGACTGACTGTAGTAATTATATGGGGATATCACTACTATCAACTTCATACAAAATGTTATCCAATATTTTTCTCTCAAGGTTAAGTCCATATATAGATGAAATTATTGGGGATCATCAGTGTGGGTTTCAACATAACCAATCAACTATAGATCAGATCTTTTGCATTCGTCAGATACTGGAGAAAATTGGGAGTATAATGAGAGAGTACATCAGCTATTCATAGACTTCAAGAAAGCATATGATACAGTTAGGAGGGAAGTATTATACAATATTCTGATAGAGTTTGGGATACCCATGAAACTAGTTGGGTCGATTAAAATGTGTTTAAACGAAACATATAGTAAAGTCCGTGTAGGTAAATATTTGTCTGATAAATTTCCTATCCAGAATGGACTAAAACAAGTAGATGCTTTATTCACACTCCTTTTCAGCTTTGCTTTAGAATATGCCATTAGGAAGGTCTAGGGAAACCAGGTGAGACTGAAATTAAACAGGACACATCAGCTGTTGGCCTATCCGATGACGTTAATCTCCTGGGTGATAATGTAGATACCATAAAGAAAAACACACAAACTTTATTTGACGCAAGTAAAGAGGTTGGTCTAGAAGTAAACATAGAGAAAACTGAGTATATCTTGCTGTCTCATCACCAAAATGCAGGGCAAAATCATGACATAAAGATAGGAAACAGATGTTTTGAAAATGTGGCACAATTCAGATATTTGGGAACAATGATAACAGATCGAAACTTGATTCAGGAGGAAAGTAAGAGGAGATTGAACTCAGGTAATGCTTGCTACCATTCAATCCAGAACCTTTTGTCTTCTCATCTGCTGTCCAAAAACATAAAAATTAGAATATACAAAACTACGAGTATAATTTTGCCTGTGGTTTTGTATGGGTGTGAAACTTGGTTTCTGACATTAAGGGAGGAAGATAGACTGAGGGCGTTTAAGAACAGGGTGTTGACAATATTTGGACCGAAGAAAGATGAAGTGACAAGAGGCTGGAGAAAACTGCATAGTGAGGAACTTCATAACTTATACTCTTCTCCAGGTATAATTAGAATGATCAAGTCAAGGGGGATGAGGTGGGCAGGGCATGTAGCACGAATGGGGGAGATGAGGAATGCGTATAGGATATTGGTGGGAAAGCCAGAAGGAAAGAGATAACTGGGAAGACCAAGGCGTGGGTGGGTGGACAATATTAAAATGGATCTTAGAGAGATAGGATGGGATGTTATGGATTGGATTGATCTGGCTGAGGATAGGGACCAGTGGAGGGCTCTTGTGAACACGGTAATGAACCTTCAGGTTCCATAAAATGCTGGGAAATTCTTGAGTAGCTGCAGAATTGGCAGCTCCTCCAGAAGGGCTCAGCTCCATGAGTGAGTAAGTAAGTAAGTAAGTAAGTAAGTAAGTAAGTAAGTAATGTAGGGCTCAGTCATTATCCAAACACCTGCCAAGCAGAAATAACAGGAAAGCTGAAACTACAATCAGATAATCATAAAAAATATTACTTAGGGGAGTTTTCAATACAACTATCAGCTTTTTTTACAGTGGGAATGAAATATGCCTTCGTAACTGTTAGTTCTTTGTTCAACCTTATGCTACATACACAAATGAGACACAATTGGAAAGAAGAAACAATTTAAAAAATTTGCCTTCATTAAAGCATACTCAAGACTGTTCCATTTTTTTCAGAGGCCAAATGCAACAATGCCTTACAAGCCTGGTTTTGAGGAAGATGGATTTCTTAAAAGTCTGGCACCATTTGAACCTAAGGAGATAGAATTAAAAGCTAAGAACTGCACCGAGGTGAGAATTATAGTTATAGTAACACAGTTATAAGTGGGTCTTCAGATTAATTGTTAAATATTTCATAAACAAGCTTGGCTATTACTGACATATCCAGATCACTTTTTCAGATTTCTTGGATGTATGAAAAAGTCGCTTATTAATAATTTCTTAACCATAAAGTACTGTCAATTGTTAGTGTGCTGGTAGAAATGGTGGGCTGGGAGGTAAGCCAGCTGTAGAGCTGCTGGGAGTGAAAGTAGTATCATTATCATTATATAATTCCCCTCAATTTTGGTGCCAAAATATTCTCAAAGTATGTTCACTGTACAAAGCTGAGGACAGTGATAATGCTTTGATGGGGGGTGTTTATTGTTACTGTTATTATTGTTGCCATCATCATCATCATAGTTGTCACAATATTAATTATCACTGTAGTAGTCATAATCGTTATAGTAGTAGCCATTGTCTTCAAATAGTCATAGTCACTGTGGCAGCAGTTAGCATCTTCTCTTATCACAGAGGTTCTTGCTGGTACATCTCCTCTTGATCTGGTGGTGAACCCCACCACTTATGCTTCAAGACTGTAGTACTTTCCTTATGACGTGCAACATTCTCTGTACCGCTTCTGTTTGTAAAGAGCCTGGTAAATGATTTCCTGATATTGCTTGCAAATACTTTTTAGTCCCTTACTCACAATTTCTGTAGCTCCAATAACTACCAGTAGGACAAAGCATTTCACATACCACATATTCTGAATTTCAATGCTTAAGTTTTTATATAAACATTCCTGTCTGAGGGTTTTGCTACATTTATCAGTATGCAAATATAATCTTACTTGTTTCTAATTATTATGTCTGGCCTATTTGCTGGAACCTCCTGTCTGTTTTTTGCACCCATGTGTGTGTGTGTGTGAGAGAGAGAGAGAGAGTGAGAGAGAATGAAATGTAAGGTGCAGTCATGTGCTGTATCACAGAGTCCAATAAATTCAGTCATCAATCCAAGACCTGTGTATAATCACAAACAGCACGTGACAAAATGTTAGGTATAATTGTAGTTCAGATGAGAAGCAAGAAGTTCGCACCAGAATCTTGGTGGGGAAAGCTTTTAATGAGCTTTCGTTATAAAACATAATAAAAGTCTGTTCACAGACTGCTCCACCGATGCCTGATCACAGGCAGATGTGTAGATAGACACAGCACACTGGTGAGGCATCCCATGCCCAGATTTATGTAACCCTGCTCTTACTGGTAAAAACTAGAAAATCCTAAGGGCAATAGGCAGAATTAATATTTCCTAACAAGATGACGTTACTGCTGCTGTATGTAAAAACCTGATTCAGAGCTCTATGAAAACTTACAGTTATTTAATTATTCAAATGCTACCTGGTAAGTATTGGGTATAATTGTTCATAATCGACCAGGAACAGATTTGAGTAATGGAGTTCTGATAAGAATTAATTTTTACTGAAAATTGTGCTAAATACCAGGTATTCAAACTTTCATTTGGGTTTTTATCTACAGCAGCACTAATTCTATTTGTAACTAGTTAATTCTAATTTTGTTTCTGTGCTTAGTAGTTTATAGTTTTTACTAGTTTTCACTGTAGCATGCGTAAGTCAGTCATTAATGAAATAATTCATACGTTCACTAGCAGCAGTCAAACATGTATGTGTTTTTCTTCAAGCTTTAATGATGTTTTTTCCACTCACTAGGTGCTAGTTTGGCATACACAATCAAAGAAGAATGAAGCTTCTGCTGCTCTTGATTTAACAAAATACAACAACACAAACTTGGTGATATTAAAGCAGCTGATTGTGTAATAATGGTGCTGTGAAGAGGTACTCATCCAAAGGAATACTCTGTGCAACAGTACTCATCTTGAAGCATTCCAAGTGACAGCTATCATCAGGTAGTCTTCAGGGAGGCTGTCTACCAATCTCATGATGTGACTGATTGAGTGAAATGTTGCCATCCATAAAATGAAGTGTTACTGTAGTGAGAACGTGGACCTGTGATAAACAAATTTTGTGATTATTTGCATCGATAAACGTTATATCTGAGTCGGCTCAATATTAACTAACTATTATAATGTTTAACCTTTATTGTCCCCAAAGTACTCCACTGTGGTACTCTAAAAGTACATTCCCAACACTCAGTGTATCCCATGATGGCACACTGAAACCATTCTACCACTGCACTCTTTGTATGCATTTGTGATGCATCAAACTACCTGCTAGATTTTCTCTAATAAATGGGCGGCTCATATTCTACATTGTGTAACCCATCACTACCATTGACATATAAACAATTTTTAAGTGCTTACAATTGTCTGACTCAAAAGTATCATTAACAAGACAGCTGCAAAATAACTGCTTATGAATTAAGAGAAGGAGGTCAAGGAGAATTGCTATGCAACTACTCCATATCTCAGTTGTGTTTATGTATACAAAGTACAAAAAAAATATTATTTCTGTTATTTCTGCTGCAAAATCAGTTTTTCATTATTGAATTGTGTTTGTTGCATTATATAATGCAGGCTTCAACCAATAATTCTGTGCTTGTGTTTTACTTCTATTTTAGTGGTAGAACTTTCAGGACAAAATGGCAAGGGAGAAGCAAAAATGTATTAGTGTTGTCCACTTCTTATCTGGCAGACTGTCTGGCTTGTGAACTCAGGTCAACAATGTCTCACATCCACCAAGTATTTGCTTGCTGTTTTCATTGCAGTTCTCTAATTATGATGAGACAATCAGATACCATCACCAATATATGGTAACCCATAATGAATAACTTTACCCTCAGTCTGTTATGACCATAGCTGGTATGTGCTTATTTTTGGCCCTAATCATGGAGATGGGCTGTGGCTTGCCAGAATCTCTGTATGGGTACAAGTAGACTCTACAGCAATTTCACCAACATGTATATTGTCCTCAGGGTCATCACACTGTGAAGTCTTACAGTCAGGTAAAACCGTTTCAGAGGAATACACTGCCTTCATCTTCATGGCAAAAATGAGCAAATTTGGGGAAGTACCAGGTTATGCAGAAGTAGTGGGATAGGCAATTAGTCATGGATGATGGATGACCTGACAGCCACGGTTTGGAAGCAGGCAGACGTTTATATCCTGTCTATATGAACCCTACAAAGAAATCTAGCCAAAACACAACGTTTATTACTTGTATCTGACGGGTGCTCTCTCAGAATTTCTAGGGGAGACTGACTGTTCTAAGTCAGGTTGTTTCTAGTTTTCCTTCAACCATCCAGGGAAATGCTAGGATGGTACTTCAAACTGACAAATACATGTTACTTCTACATCCTTTCCAATAATCATTACTAACCATCCTGCCGTTTAACTCTTCATACCCTGAGCTACTGACACCATTGCTAAGTAAGTCACAAATGTGAGGGGAAAATATCCAGAAAAATGGGGAAATAATTGTTGAATCCCACAGACCATGTTAGCTTAAGCTATAATGTTTCTGACTTGTATCTGGGAGGCAATCATTTCAAATCTCAGTGGGGTATAGACTGTTCTGACCAAGGCTGTTTGTAGTTTTCTTAGTCCCTCCAGGCAAATACCAGGATGTCACCTAAAGTTAGATGATGATGATGATGATGATGATAATGATGATGTCCTTCAACGACCTTCCCAGTAATAATTCACTAACCATCTTATCATTCAACATTTTAAACTCTGAACTACTGATATTGCCACTATATAGAACACAAATGTAAGTGGGCAAACATCAAACGGGGATATAAATTACACCTGCACACTACAGAGCATGGAGGCTCAAATCATAATATTTCTGACTTGTATTCCAGAGGTGATTACTGAAAATCTTGACTATCCTGACTGAGGTAATTTGTAGTTTTCCTCAGTCCCTCCAGAAAACTGCCAGGATATTGCCTAAAAGTAGGCTTCCTTCCACATCTTTTCCAAACCATTCAATACTTTATTTATTCTGAGCTACTAACAGTACCACTATATAAACCATAAATATATGTGTTAAACATCCACCATAAGATTGAAATTCCTGTATTGAACATGGAAACACAGTGGTTGAAGGCTACAGCAGATTGTATTTTGCAATCAAACCACAGAGTGGTATACACCTACATGGCAAGCAGTGATATTATGATAAAAACAAACTTCCTGGAAGCCAATAGCAGTTCCAGCATTGTATGTTTCATTCACAACCCAAATAAATATACACCATACCTAATGTGAGAAATGTCACATTGGTCTATGCATTGTTATGTACTTCAGAGATTGTGACAATATAGTGAATTTTTTAGGACAATACCTTGGTGTGAAATGCACGTGAGATTCACAGAACACACAGGTGAATCAGACATACACCTACTATATTGATTTATTTTACATTATAATAGGTTTGCACATGAGTCTGTGGCATATAATAAATTATAAAAATTGCATTTTTGTAATGCCATCATCTATGTTTTGTTTGCTTTAAGGCACTTTTTATTTAACATTTGATCATTGATAAATCTGCAGGAATTGTGATTTTTATAAAAAGGGGCACAGTTTGAATTAAATGACATTTAATTCGAGCCATTTGCTCCTATGGGGGGGAATTAAATCTGGTATGATAAAGGCTAAAAATACTTTCTCACAAGCACAAAAAGATTTTGCCTTGGCTACTATCTGTTCAGTCCACTGGGATGTTTCATCATTCAGTTACATTTCTGCACACTGAGAATAGCTGATATAGTGTAAACTGGGGCAGAGTTTGAGGTGTACAAAATCTTCCTAGCGGTCTCTCTCCTTCTGGCTTTCCTACCAAAACCCTGTATGAATTCTCTTCCCCTATGCATGCTTCGTGGCTTCCCCATCTCATCCTCCTTGACTTGGTCATTCTAACTATATTTGGCAAAGTATACAAGTTATGCTTAATTTACATCAGCCCACAGATTCTAATTAATATTGTATTACATACATGTTACCTCCAGCAGAAAAATTACTATACAACTAGCAATTAATTTATAATGGCTGAGAGTCACTAGTACATAGCATTGTAGACATAAACATGAATTTGTGTACATAAGAGGTTGCTCGTTTTAACATGCCTTCACCATTCCCGGTGTCTGTAATAAATTTGCTACTACATGGTTTTTTTCCTACTTCTACACACACAGTAGTGTAGTTGAGGCACTATGCTACAAGCTAGAAGGTTGCGGGTTCAATTCCCAATGAGGTTACTGGATTTTTTCAATTTTCCCTACTCCTTCCAGCTGCACAAGGTCCCTAGGGTCAACTCAGCCTCTAACAGAAATGAGTACCATGAAACTTCATGCATGGTAAAAGGCAGCCGGCACATAAGGCTGACAACCTTACCACTTTCTGTGAGCTGACTGCCTAGAAAATGTGGGAGACTCAACATACCATAACCATATAGGCCTTCACGGCCTGTTACAGGGATAGCTTTACCTTAAACATTTGGACATTTATGGCTCACATTATCAGACTGAGGACTTTGACCTTAGCCATTTATTCTGCCTCTTGAACAGGCTACCTTTAAAGAAACAACATTTTACAAGAAGAATATTATACCTTACATATTTATTCTCATTCTTAAATGATTTAAAGACCAGAGTGTAGAATAACGTCCAAGGAATATTACTGGATTTATGTTTACCAAATAAAAACATGACCTAATCTTCCTTGGACGTGAGTGTAAAACAGATGAGCTTTTACTGCTAACCGAAGCTTTCATGTGTGGGTGCACAGAAGCAATTTAACCTAGGGCACAGTAACATAAGGATGGTTCCCTATGCGATTAACATTTTTGGGTTGAATAAAATTGAAGGAACTTTTATTGAGTAAAAATGAGTTCATGTTGAGAAGTCTCACAATACACACCCTGTTTCAGCAGGGTCATGTGTGCATTAATAGTTTCTAAAAATGTTTCACACAGAAGGGCCAAAACTTACAGCACTGTACAAGGGATATGATGAGTCTGAAGCAATGTGTGATCATACATTTCAACACAGGATAAGAAAGGAGTGAATTGGTGAAGATGTTCAGCAAACTATTTAGATAATGGTGTCAAAAAGGTGCATATACTATCCTAGGGAACATAACTGTGCGAAGTTACTATGGTATTAAGATGACTTTCTTATGAGATATTATGCCATGTAGTCTGGTAGAAAAATATTGATGTTTCAGAGGAAACTGCTGCCTACATCTTCAGGGTTGAGTTGACCTGAAGATGGAAACAGCATGTTCCTCAGGAACATTGGCAACTATCTACCAGATTACATGGCATCACATTCCAGAGGATGTTATTATTCACAGAGTCTGCAGTGAGAACGTCAAATCCAACGTATCATGTTACTGGTGGTAGTTATCATGGGTTTAGTTAATAAGGGTTGACATAAATAAAAGTTAATCAGTATATCACTTCCTGTGGCCAAAATGTGAAATACACTCTGACAGGTGGTATGAGCAGCAGCAAATAAATATACTCCTGCAAGTAGCTGGGAATTTTCCTAGAAAAAATACTGCATTGTGTCCCAAGTGAGGTAATCAATTCCAGCCCTGCACTAGTCCCGCTAGGCCATGTTTGTGTCAGCTGACCACTGATGATTCAGTCAGGCTCTGTCAACAAGCTCACCATCATTAAGATGATGCTTTAATTTTGATATGAATGAACAGGCTTCACTTTGTACAAAGCCATGATACTGTTCGCATAATGAAAAGCCCACAGAAAAGAAAACAGAGAGAAAAGCAGTCCTGCAGTTTTGGAAGTTTACAAACAAAATGCAGGCTTTGCTTTCCCTAATCAATAGAAATGACCATCCTCCTACATTAAACACCTTGTCAATGCCCACAGCATTTGCTGATGACACTAGTGTCTTAATTTTTAGTAAAAATTTGGATGATTTTTGCATACTATCAAAGAAATTTATCTCTGAAATGAGTAAATGGGTTTCTGCAAACAAGCTGTCCCTGAATCTAAATAAAACAAATGTAATAAAATTTATGACAAGAAAACTCACCACAATTTCCTTTCAAAAATAGGATATAATAATAAATATATAAAGAGGCTATAAACACAAAATTCCTTGGCTTACAAATAATCATCTGAACTGGAAAAAACATTGATCAGTTTGTTCAAAGCTATGTGGAGCATGTTATGAAGTCAGATCTTTGTTGCATATATGCAACACTGACACTCTCAAATCAATCTATTTTGTTTACTTTCACTCTTTAATGAAGTATGGAATAATTTTCTGGGGTAATTAATCTGACAGCAAAATGGTATTTACATTGCAAAAGAAAACTGTTAGACTCATAATGGGTGTCAAATCCCATACTTCTTGTAGAGACCTATTTAAGAGACTAGAGATCTTAACTCTTCCATGTGAATATATATTTTCATTAACAAACTTCATTACAAATAATGAACATTTTCAAACCAAGGCATATGTACACAGTGTTAACACCAGACACAAGCACTGTCTCCATAAACCAACTTCTAACCTCTCATGCTTTCAGAAAAGCACATATTATTCTGGTATAAAAATTTTCAGTAATTTGCCATGTGATCTGAAAAGCATTATGAATGAAAAAGTCCGATTTAAAATAGAACTAAAAAAAGTACTTAAACACACACATTCTACTCTGTTGATGAGTACTTATCCTCTAAAAAGTGACTTGCCCATTTAAAGGTTGTGTAAATAGCATAAGTTGACAGTACTGATGTATATATGTGGACGTATTTTGTATAGCCTCATGTGTAACTACTGTATTTTCTTGGGTTTTCCTGTGTGAAAACATCAGTTGCACTGTACATATATTATTGAATTTATATGACATATTCCACAACCTACAGTCACTATGAATAACTTTGGATCCTTAAAATGCAAGGCAATGTAACATAATGTAAATTATTTGTAATGTGCTTCATTCTGCATTGAAGAAAAGAAAAACAAAGAATATTTCTGTTGCAAGAGCAGCAAAAGCTGTTGGTAAAGTAAACTGACAGTGGAAAACATGCATAGGGACTTTGCAAATGCAGAAGAAAGTGAGGGTTTCAGTTCCCCAAAAATTTGGTAAGAGAAGAAATTCCCATTTAGCTCAAACTTCTCCTTTTTGTGAAGAATGAAATTGGATTTCAGTGTAAAAAGATAAAATTATCCATGTAACATGCTGTGGAACCCCATAAGGGAGTGAGACATCAAGGCTCCCACATTTTCTAGACAGTCTGATCACAGATGGCAATGGGGTTGTCAGCCTTATGCACGAGCTGTCGGTTACACCAAGGAAGATTCCTGGTACTTGTTTCTGTTAGAGGCCAAGTCTACCCCCAGGCCACAGCGCAGCTGGAAGGTTTAGGTCAATTGAAAATTCTCATGACCTCATTGGGAATTGAAACTGCTACCTTCTCGCTTGTGATATAGTGCCTCAACCAACTTTGCTACCATGACCATGGAGGATGAATACAGTATTTTAATTCAGTCATGCCTGTAGGAATTTCAGGGAAGAAAAGAGAGTTCTTAGAAAGTACTGAAAAGAAATGGGTTAAGTTGTAAATGTAAAATAGAAGATCTCTATTAACTGAAAGATAAGCTTGCCACTAGAGCACCCATTAAGAGAGAGATTTGGGTTGACACCTATTGTACAGTAAAAAGCATGGGTAGCATGATACAGTTCTGGATATAATAATAAACAGCAGTGCAGGGCAGAGGACTATAGTTGTTTATGCTGAGGGAAAAATGGGATTCATATGTGAAGCAGAAGTGGTTATGATCCAAAGTCAGAATCAGAAAAATGCAATGGCATTATGAACAGCATAAAAAATTAACTTCCCACTACTTTTCTCATATGGCTGATATTATGATGTTCCAAAGCAATAAAATTGACATTGATCCTGGAATTAACAAAAGATTAACTCCTGCAAGCTGTGAGATTGTACAAATACTTTTACTGAGGACAGAAGTGTGCCAAAAAATGCTTTTGGTGTGTGGTGATTTCCTCCATACCTGAGTTTTTCTTGGGAAGCTAATAGTTCCTCAGCCACTCAAGAAATTTTCTGAATTTTATAGAACTTGAAGGTTCATTGCCATATTCGCCAGTCTCCTATCTGAAGCCCAATGGATCCAGTCCTCACCCTGTCATCCTGCTTCTATAAGATCAATTTAAATGTTACATTCTGATATACACCTAGGTCATCTAATGGTCTCTTTTGGGTTTTTCTGCCAAAACTTTATGTGCCTTTCCCTTCACTCCTGTGTGCACTTCATGTTGTGCCAACCATATTCTCCTTCATTACATCTTTCTAATAATATTTTGTGGGGATAGTGACACTGTGGAATGTTTTCTCCTAGTACTTCATTTTCCTCTTCCAGTTCTCATTCCACCAACTGTTCCTCATCCATTCATTATCCAGTACTATATAATGTCAGTATTCACAACATTGACAAAAAAAACTTAAAAAATACATAACATTAAAACCAAGAAATTCATGTTCCTCATGTATATTGTTCTTTCTTATGCTAAAATGAAATGTATCACAAGCATGACACATTATGCATAATATGCTGCGACTGGCGCGCCTACACTTGTTTGACTTTATGAACACAATGTTGTTTTAATTTCAGAATATTTAGAAACCCCAAAATTTCATTTTGTAAAGTACTCGTTCCTATTCACGTTACGTTCTTATTGTACTTTTGTGGGCAGCGCTGGGATAGCTCAGTCGATATCGTCGATATAGTAATGGGCTACGGGCTGGATTGCCTTCTACTCTGCGATGCCCAGACTCGCTCTGGGACCTACTCAGCTACATAGCCAATGGGTACAGTAGGTAATGCTGCCGCGGGTTGAAGGTGACCTCTTATCTACATCTAGTGATCTAATGCTTATGTGAAGAATAGTGACGCTACGCCTCAATTCCCTCCATACGTCATCGGGGTATGATGCGTAACAAATTAAGCCGAGGGACAACTTTACGTTACCTTTGTGGGTACATTTTGTTTCCGTTGCTCATAGCTGTTGCCCAGCATGAACCAGTGAGTAAGAGGCGTAAGAGAGTGAATGGCCCAGTGAGTCTGTCTGTGAGGGTCTGTGAGTAACAGAGCGGGAACGGAGAGTAAGCTATAGTAATCGAATTCAGCAGCGTTCAGCAGTGTCGCGAGCGTCGAGGCGGGCCAGGCCGTCGGATTCGTCGGATTGGTGGAACCGGTGGAGTCTGGGCAAAAAGAAGTGGTCGCGGCTGTTTGCTGCTGCTCAATAAAGATGCTGAAACGTGCCTTTATTTTGTATTTAGTACCTATAGTTGTGCGTATAGAAAGCGTTATGTCTTTTGAAAAGGAAATGACAATAAGCATTGATTCCAGACGGGAGGAATGTTTCTATCAACCTGTTAAACGCGGACAAGTAATTGATGTTGAATATCAAGTAAGTGCCAGTGTAATAATTTGTCGGTTTGTATCAANTAAACTCCTTTTTGAAAACTAGTTAAGTTAGCTTGAGGTAGATAAAGATCTTGTCTATGTCTGGTATTTATAGCATGAGAGTCAATATTTGATGAAAAAAGATGTTTATTCTGCAATACAAATATTAACAATGAAAATATGTATTGCGATGCAAATGGTAAAATGTTTAACTCTTTAAATATGTTTCTACACGAAACTCTGTTACCATATCCCAACATCGCTCTGATGGCTTTTTTTTGGAGAAGAAAAACACTAGAACTATGGGAAGAATTTCCCCAAAAGATGATACCATAGCTCAATAAGGAGTGAAAGAAAGAGTAATAAATTGCCTTTAAGGCTGTAATAGACAAATACTGTTTCATATTTCTTATTACATAACAAGCCTTGCTTAATTTTTTTACAAGTAGTTCAATGTGATTCTTCCATATTAGGGCACTATCAACTACGACTCCCAAGAATTTAGTACTTAAGGTATTGTTGATAAAATTATTGTTATAATTTATTGTAAAAGTATCTGATATTGTTGCCTTGGTTTTAAATTGAATACAATGTGTCTTATTAAAATTCAGGGATAGTTTATTTGCTCTAAACCATCTATTTAAAATTTCAATTGTTGTAAGAATATTCCTACTAAGATCATTTATATTAGAATGTGAAAATAAAATGCTAGTATCATCAGCAAAGATTACGGGTGTAGAAAATCTATTTAATACTTTAGGCAAATCATTTATATATATGAGAAACAACAAAGGTCCCAATACCGACCCTTGTGGCACTCCCTGCACACGTATTCACACGTATAATCGGCCACATATTTATTACTCTTTTAATCCCTGAGATCAGCCTTTCCATTACGTCATGACTGTTCCATAAGTGTATTTCTTGCTCTACCTAACCTAAATATATACAGAACCTTTAATTTACCATAATTTTTACATTGAGTTGGTGCTACCATTTAAAATAAAGTTATTAGTATAATTTTTTATAATTGATAGAAACAAATCTTTTACATCATATGTTTTTTGTAGGAATGGATGAGAATACATCATAACAGTGATTTTGTGTATACATTTAAAGAACACAAGCATGTAATCTTAAACATATGGCCTCCCCCCCTTTTTTCCCCCCCTAATTTTCACAGTAGTGTGGTGGTAGTGTCCTTACAACATCGATAGTGTAACTTACATTATGATGTTAGATCAGTTTAATGTTTTGCTGTATGAACAGAGCATGCTGTCACATCAGTACACCCTAGGTCTTGTAGATTATGTAGTGGAATACTTTCTCACTGTTACACAGTTTGAGGAGTTCATTTAGAGTCTGCACATAATCCTAAATAATTAACTGTCCCTATGATAACTTTCATTCAGCATTAGCAGCACAGGTTGCTAGCCTTGCACTTATTGCATGACATGCATAGTGTGCTGTGATAGGAGTTGGTAGTGCTAACCTGGGGGGGGGTGAGGTAGAAGCAAGACAGGAGAGATGTGAGAGGAATGAAAACCTCTGGGACAGAGACTGTGGCTTAATTGACAGTTTTACTAAGAACCCGTAAGAAGCTTTTCAGAGTTAAAGTTGTAGGATCCTGTATGTGAACATTTTTAGTATGTGTGCAGGTGATGCCTGCAGCCATATTTTATGCAAATTTGTGTTCAATTTATATTTATTAGAGCAATAATAGTATAAAACAAATGAAATTGGACTAAAACTAGAGCCAACACAAACTTAACATGAATATAATTTAAATGTGTATTCAATTGAGACATGTAAAAGCATATCTAAATGCAGTATTTCTTTTACCTCTGCTAATAAACTACAGGAATATGTTGGTAAGTTATTTAACTTTGGCAGAACAGCATGTTAGCAAAAGAGGCATGAGAAGAGCTGTATACCTGTCCACTGTTCTTATTGATCCAGACCAGGTTCTATCTTCCTGTTTCCTCTTGTGGATAAGAGTGACAATCTTCCTTGCAGTCTCCCATTGTAGCCCAACCTGTTTCTTGCCCTGCATACTTCAACCCTGAAGATGGAGACAGCATGTTCCTCCAAATTACTGGTATTCACATAAAAGAGTACATGGTATTGCAACCCAGAAGACCACAAGCTGTACAAACTCTGGCATGAAAATGTCAGTAACTTATAAGAAATGGCCGCACCGTAGCTCAAGCGATTAGCCGCTGGCTTCCCACCGTGGCAGCCTGGGTTCTATCCTGGGTCTGGTCAAGTGGGATTTGTGGTGAACAAAGTGGCACTGGTGCAGGTTTCCTTTGAGTACTTCGGTTTCCCCTGCCAATCTTCATTCCACAAATTGCTCCACAATCACCCTCACCTATCATCTGGGGCTGGTACAATAGGCCACAAGTGGCTCCAGTACAAGGGACTTAGTCCCACCCCACTAGCAGTTAAAGAAACTTATAAGAAAGGCATAAATAACTGGTCTCTGTATTATGAAGCTGTACTGGAAAGACTTACTTGTGAACAAATTACTTTAGGAAAAATAATATATAATTTTGTAAAAGAGGTTATGAGAAAGTGTGTATCTTGAAGATCAAGATCAGTTGGTTACCAATTGTTATGATGAATACATGTTTTATTTTATTACACTGTTCAGTACCCGAGACTGCATTGGTGAATGATGAATTGGAAAGGATTCAGAATGAAACTGACATGGTTTAATTGAGATAGTATCCTGGTATTTGCCTGGAGGTACAGAGGACTACAATGAAAGACCTCAGTGAGGATAGCCAGCTTTCCAGCTGATGTTCAAATCAGGCACCTCCCAAATATAAATCACAGGCATTACTGCTTGAACCAACTGCCTCAGTATGATGAATAGGAGAGAATCATGATGTATGATTAAATCATTTTAAAAGAAAAATCCACTCAAGGTAGAGGTACTATTGTGAGATTTTAGGTTCTCACGGTGGTGTCAAAATTACAATCTTCTGAAGTAACACCATGTAGTATGGTAGATAGGTCCATTTAAAACATTGATAGTGATTTACCAAACTGCATGGTAAAATGTCTCAGAAGACCGTAATCTTAAAGATACCACATGTTAGATTGAATCAACATTTATAAAATATTATGATGTGTGAAGAAGTGAAGAGTCATGCATAATGTTTGTTCAAACAGTACAGCTCATCTGTAGTCAAGCTTAGAATCAAAGATTTAGCAATATTTGTTAATTTTTAAAAATCTGTTTCAGGTCATTGATGGCGGACAGGGAGAAATTGACATCTCATTTCACTTAGCTACCCCATCAGGGAGGATAGTTGTATCAGATTTAAAGAAGCCTGAAAATTCTCATAGGTAAACATGTTTTGCATGTCATTATTGTGAGGCTTACATTATGCCAGAAATGCAGGAAAGATTTTTCATTTGTTGGCTGGTTCCACGGTTCTGTGCTTCATGGCGGCCAGCAGTTCACTTGCTGTGAGGTGCACCCAAAATTTGCCGATGAATCAGCACGCCTGATGGCTGATAACATTCAGAATGAAAGGAAGTTCTTACATTTGTTCACAGATCACAGGAAGTGTTGAAAGTGCTGTCACCCTACTCATAGGCATTCCTCACACTGGTGGAAGTGGTTCTGATTTATCCTTTGAACTTGTTCTGCAGGAATATTTGCAATTTCCCAACAAATATTTTCTTTTAGTTCTTCCATTCAGAGGTTACTGTTGCAAACTTTGTTCTTCAAACCACTTCAGAAGAAAAAGTCACACAGATTAAGATCAGGTGAACGTGCTGGCCAAATACCACTGCTGATAATTATGTCCTCAAAGACATCGGACAAAGCCTGCATAGATATATGTGCAGTGTGGGCAGAAGCTGAATCTTGCTGAAACCAGCCAGAGTCCTTCCTCTTCTGTTAACTCTGGAAAGAATTGCCCCAGGATGACCTGCACATATCCTTTGCAGTTAACTTGTTCTTCAAAAAAACATAGGTCCAACAGTCCTTACACTTTCAGCACACCAGACACCAATTTTCCCTGGATAGAGCAGGGCTTAAAGGGTTAGTTGTGGATTCTGTGAACTCCTGTAGCGATTATTTTATGTATTTATGTATTACTGCAAGTGAAACCATACTTCGTCAGAAAAGAATGTCAGTTGCAGATCGATCTCACCTTAGACAATAGACTGTAGAAACTAACTGTAAAAATGAACCCTGCTAACTGTATCGTGCAGCTTCAAGGTGTGGCTTGCTGTTGTTTTATAAGGCCTTTCAGCAGTTGTGTTGCTGTTCTTGCACTAGACTTTGACACTCCAGTTTCTTGATCTAGGCATTTCAGTGATTTTATAGGTATATGTTCAAATCTGGCCTCTGTGTCAAATAAGCACCCAGCACTTATGTTTTTGTTTCTTGTCCCATTGTTCTAAGATTATTCACAAAATTGTTAATTGTTTGTCTGCTGGGAACTCTTTCATCATGAAATTTAGGTAGAAATTTTTGCTGACACTTTCTGGCAGATCTGTTTTTCACATAGGTGTCATGCAGAAATACACAGAACTCTTAAAGTGTACCACACCATGATGTACCACACTGCTGACTAATTGTAACTGAGAACAAATGGCTAATATTGTTGATAACTGCTGACAGATCATAAACAAAGTCACACATGAACCACACTGCTTGCCATGAAACATAATGCCATCAAGCAGTCCACAAGTTAATTATCTTCCTTCACTTCAAATGTTATTGGCCATCAGACATGCTGCTTCATCGATAAAATGCGTCTCACATCCAGCGGTGCACCAGTCTCCGTGACACACAGAACTGTGAAGCAGTCAACATAGTTAAAAAACTCTGTAGAAGGAGTGACTTTGTTTCATTGTCCATGCACACCCGTATAAATTGAACTGAGATAAGAATGAAGCAGTACATTCCTGCGTTTAATGAACTACACTGCATTACATCCCAGAAGATAGTGTTCTTAATAGTCACTGCTATGATAGCCTCAGGTCCAGCTTTGCTGTATTATCTCATCACTGAAAGAAATGTAACATGGGCTTGTGCTCCCTCGTTTTGTGATGTCTAAGTCTGATGTCTTGCACCATGCCCTTTACTAAATCCCATAGCATGTCAAGAGGTTAACCTGCCTCCACTTAAAAATATAATATTTACTCCTATAATTTCATAAATCAGTGGGGTCTTGGAGTCTGGAGCTAACTAGTCACTTTCCTTTCCCTAACTTTATTGTAACTTTTTATTCTATACAGGCTCATGGTCTCAGGACATTGGGCTGTAACTTTAGATGAGAATTGTTTAAGAACCAGATGACTGGAGTTATTTGACGCATTTTGTATCGTTACTAAGAGGCTGCTTGCCAGCTTTGTGTGCAATATATACACAGTCAATAAATACTCTATATTCTGTAGTGAGTATTCGCTCTTTGTGGTTGGATTACATGCACAGCTAGCCAACTGACGATCATCATTGCTGAATTATTACACCGCCCCTTGGCCAACATAATTCAGTCAGCCCACCAACCTCTTGGTTCACAATAGTAATGAAAATTAAATTTTTGAGTGTGAGGTTAAAGTCAGTCAATAAAAACTATTTTTCAAGCATTTCTCCTTTTCTTTACAAAGGGTCGATTTCACATCAGTCGTGTAATATTAAGTTAATGAAAATCTGTGAATGGACAATTAAAATGTATTTTTAAGGAAGATTCCACATGCAACAGAAAATGATAACTCATAGATTGTTTTATTTAATTCTCTCTGTGTAAGGTGGAGGCATCATCCTTTTTGTATGCATTTGTGAGCTGTATATATTTCATTTCTGCATTTAAAAGTGTAAAATTATTGTTGAATAACAATGAGAAAGCCAAGTGTCATAATTTCCTTTAGCATGGAGCTGCATACCAAACTGCCCTGGCACTTTTATTTATTAGGACACCACCACCACCAACAAAAATAAAACCTACCATTTGTTCCCAGATATAATGTTAAGTTTACTCTTCTGTTCTTGAAATATTGTTTTTTATTATTTATTTAATTATTCAGCTTTTCTCTTGTGTTCTGACAATAATGTTTAGGAAGTTTGAATGAAATGTACAAAAATTTATTATATTCTTCATGGTGAAAACATTTTGTATGTGATTGTTTGCTGGGAGCAACAGTAATGATTGAACTGTCTAGAGGTAACGTTCCCACCTCATGACTTGTAGTACGCGGGTTCAAATACCCGGCGGAGGTCGTCGAATTTTTAAGGGCGGAAAAATTCAGGGAACAAGTCCTCCGGGAGGGACTTTAAGCCATGGGTCCTGTGTCGTAGCTTTACGGCACGTAAAAGAACCTCATATCTCCAAAGGAGGTCACTGAGCAAAATTGCGGATGTTTGCCTCCCAACAGCAGTCACTAATACCTCCAGTAGATGGGGGAAGCATTATAGATACTTCTCAGCCAGTAGAGAGCCGGTGTCGCTGGCTGGGCGGGACTGATGGTAAGCACCAATGCCGGTAGGATATAGAGGCTGGTAGAAATCATAGAGGGAAGCACAATGGACCACTACAGGTCTAAGTGCATGGGGAAACGCACCCTCTCTAATAACTAAAAACTAACTATTTAATGTATTTTGCATCGTAACTGGATTCTGTACATCTGAAGTGTACACATTTCTTTTAGTTCGCTGTTTCAAGATTTGGATGTTCATTGATTTGAGACAAACATGAAATTAGAGTGTTTCTGTTAATGCTGTGTGTTAATAGGATAGAAGCATCGGAAGAAGGAGATTACAGACTGTGCTGGGATAATACATTTAGTCATTTTAATAGCAAAACTGTCTTCTTTGAAATTATCATAGAAAGTGATGATGATGATGAAAGAGATCCATGGGACATTGACTTTGAAAATTATGGTGGCTTAAGCCCTGAAGAATTGTATGATATAAAAATACAGGATATTCAGGTAAGATTCGTTGTATTAATAACCCTGGTAAAGAACAGTTTCGGAGCTTAAGGTATGTATAGTGTTAGAAAAATGACGATATTGTGATGATTTTGTATAATGTTATCAGTATCAGTTTCTGTTTTGAAATAGGCCTGTTAGATGATATGCAGTCATTTGTGAATGATATCCTTATACAGGTGGAAAACTTCCAAGGTGAATCACAAATACATTCCAAGATTGTTTAAAACTGCAATCTCCAGGATACAGTAACCTGGAAAGAATTAAAATCTTAATTGCTTTGCTGCTGCACACCTGTTTAAGATGACCACATAATAGTAATTTTTAAGACATTTTGTGGAAACAGTGAATTTTGAACATTCATGGACAGAGTAGTTGTACTTGTGTAACAGCTTAAAAATTTAAAAGAAAAATTGCCTGTATATATTATGAATATTATTTTTTTTATTGCTAGTGGGGTGGGACGAAGTCCTTTGTACTGCAGCCACTTGTGGTCTATTGTACCAGCCCCATAAGATAGGTGAGGGTGATTGTGGAGCAATTGGTGGAATGAAGATTGGCAGGGGAAACTGAAGTACTCGGAGAAAACCTGCCCCAGCGCCACTTTGTCCACCACAAATCTCACTTGACCAGACCCAGGATTGAACCCGGGCTGCCGCGGTGGGAAGTTAGCGACTAACCGCTTGATCTGTGGCGCGGCCTTATTATGAATGTTAAGAACACAATGAACTGGTTGTGTAACAGAAAATATATCCTATCTCTTCACTTGACAATGTTACTGTCAACTTGGACTTGTTCATGTTTCCCTATCATCTGTTTCCATTCCTGTTGGGGACACAACCTGTAACATAAACTACTTAATTATATCAACTATACATGACGGATGCTAAAGCTGTTTCAACTTCCCTTTAGGCTTTGTTATATTGGGTGAAGCAACCAAGCAGGGTCCTTTAAATGCATAAGAATAATTTGGCAATGCAGTTTTGAGTGATTCAGAATGGAATATACCAAATGAGAGACCAAGTTACAGTTTTCACAGTGGTAGAGTTGTCTCATGGCTCTAATGAGGCTACATTGTCTACTTAAAACATTGTGCGGATGAGTTTTTTCCCCACATGAGCTGTGAATTATGAAGTGTTCAGGATACTTTGTTGGAAAAACTGTTTCACTGTTCACTTCTGTGTTCTCTGGGTTTGCTAACATATCCAAAAATCCAATTTTCTTACTGTAACTGTCTGAACACGGATGTTTTGATGTGTTTTGTTGTTCACACATTGCACGGAGTTGTGTGTTGGTGAGTGTATACACTTTTCTCTTCTCATTCCAACGAACTATTTCGCAGCAAGATGGATGGTACTTTATATTTTTGGGAGATCCAAAGGTCAAATATCAACTGGAACACTGATTATCACAATTTGAGTATTTTCATTTTTCTCAGTCTCTCAAAGCAGATCCCAGGGTTAGAACCTCATATTAGGCCACAGCTGCTTCATTCCAGATCCTTTCCAGTTCATCACATACTGTCATCCAGTCCTCTGACATTATACAGTTTGAAGTATTGAAAGCATCCCTAATTAAGTACAAATAAATAAATAAATAAATGAGATCTTCAGAATCATTGCCATGTTTCCATTGACAAGGACCATGTCACCTGTAGGCCTATATCCCCAACTGTCAAAACCTGTGCAGTTTTATTCCATATATTTTTTGCTTTGGGGGATTAATTGCCAAGAAGCAACTTTTTCTTTGAATTTCACAAAAAGTCATCCCCAGCCAAATTTTTTGTAGGGTATTACAATGTAGGACAGCTATTATGAAGGTATTCAGCCACATTTCTGTGCTTCTGCAACCTGTCATGGACTTGTCCTGCTGATGGATTCTGATTATTTTTAAAGTTAAAAAAGTTTCATGACTTTCGAATGGAATGGATTTAGTTGACCATTAATCAACTGTATGTTCTGCTGAAGTGCTTAACACTTCTACTTCATAACATGGAGGTTCTGAGTTCAAATATTGGAGACCATCTATCCTCCCTGAAGTTTTTAATGTTCTTCCTTTGTGTCTTTTAGGAAATTCCAGGACACCATTTAGGCCACAACTGCTTCCTTCTCACATCCTTTCAAATTATTTATTCACTCGTCATCCTGTCTTTTGACGCTATAATATGAGCAACTCAGACCCTTCATGGATGAGCCAAGAATAAATAATTTTAGCAGTACCCCTTTAGGATATCTCAGTCTGTGTGGCCATTTCACACACATCAGAGCTATAAAATTATGCATTTCATTTATAGTGATACCTGGTTGTCAGGTTTTGTTCCTGGAAATGTGTTACTGGTAGTACCTTTCTGACTACCAAAATATTGTCAATCATCTGATTATGCTTTTAATTTCATGCATCCTTCCGTGTTACAATATATACAACCTCGTTATTTGACCGTCACAACACAGCAAATATAGAACTTCAAGGACAATGCTCAGTATAGTTCTGCTACATGTTTCGGCCACGAGTGGCCATCATCAGGCAAACACGCTTCAACAAATGTACACCATTGAACTGCAGTACATACCGATTCAATGTTATTAAACATCAATCAAATTTTAATTTTATATATGACTTGTTATTGTTTTAAATAACCTACTTATTGTATTCTTGTGCAAATGAACTTAAATGATTTATAACATTGTATCAAATTTTAGATATACTACTTTTAAATATCAAACTATATCAATTTTAACAAACTTAATACTATTTCTTTTATATTATTTTCAGATTAATTAATTCACAACATTATTAGACCTCCTACACAATTTTATAAGAAACTCGAATTTACTATTCGTCGACAGAAATGTATGAAAAGTAAAACCAACGACCGATTCGATGTTATTGAACATCAGTCAAATTTTAATTTTATATATGACTTGTTATTGTTTTAAATAACCTATTTATTGTATTCTTGTGCAAATTAACTTAAATGATTTATAACATTGTATTAAATTTTACGTACTGCAGTTCAGTGGTTTACATTTGTTGAAGTGTGTTTGCCTGATGATGGCCACTCGTGGCCGAAACGTGGCAGAACTATACTGAGCATTGTCCTTGAAGTTCTATATTTGCTGTGTTGTGACGGTCAAATAAAGAGGTTGTATATCTGATTATGTATTTACTTAACAACAGTTTATCAACAGAAAATATTTCTCATACATAATGCTGATTGTAGTGTGATCTGTAAAAGGTGTGGGATTGGATGTGGAAGGAAGCAGTCATGGTCTGTTTTAATATGCCATCCCAGAATTTAATCAGTTGGGACTGAGGGCGGCTGAGGCTGCTGCTGCTGCTGTTGCTGTGTAGCACCGCCGCTGAGGATAGTCTTGGAATGGTGTGGCTAGAAGAGAACACCCCATTGTAGTCTTGGGCGCTCTCTCTTTCTTCCTTGGTGTGCCTACAGCCTTGATAGTTGGAGGGATGAGGTTCCTCTCTGTCCACCAACTTGCAGTTCAAGCATGTCGGTATCACTGCTGTATTCTCCTTTGCCGGGCATTCCTTGGGCAGGTGACTGCCCCCACATCACATACAATGGGGAGGTTGCTTGCAGTTAGCCCAGACATGGCCCGTTTTTTTGGCAATTGTATCATTGTGTGAGACCAGTACGCCTTTGCACTGATTGCAATATGGTGAAGATTCATTAGTTTGAATACCTCATGGGACTTTGATGTCCTAGGTAAGGTTATTAGGAAGAGGGGAATGTTTACTGTGGTTATTCTTTCTGCAGGTGATCAACGAGTGGTACACATTTGTTTGATGCTAATAACATCAAAACCAGGGTTCACCAACTCATCTGAGATGTCTCCTGCAGGAGTAGAGAACAGAAGATGCCATATCACAGCCTTTATAGGCTTCTGGGATTTTGGATAGAAGGTGAAGTATGGGTGGTTATTGCTCTCAAATTGAGAGTGGATGGCTGAAAAATCCACCATTTCTTTTGTGAAAACTCTGGTTCCATTTCTGGTGTTACAGAACTCAAAGTTGCCTTGCAGTAAGCCCTTCAGTTGCCTTTTCAATTGTATCAGGTTTACTTGAGAGGTTAATACAATGGGAGGCAGCCTACCTGTCTGGCTAGATGATGCCTGATGTCGCTGATGCTCGGTGGTGTCATCGAAATCGTCTTCATGGTCAGCCTCCATTTCAGTTGACCTCAGTGGAGCAAAGAAGTTCCAGGTGGTAACTTCAGACTTCCGCTGCACTTGGGGTTTGTTGACTTCCATGGTGGATGTTGTAGGCTTTGTTTCTTGGCTGTTTTGTTGGCATTGTGTCCAGGTTTCCACTTTCATCCTTCCTCACAAAATTCCTCTATGGCTGTAGGTGCAGTAATTGTGGTCTTGGTTGTTTCCCCTTTTGACAGTGCTGTCTTCCAGGACTGGCATTGAGTTGTATAGCACCTCTGTGTACACTCCATACAAGGTGCTATGCAGCTGTTTTCCTTTCAGAGATTCCTCTTTGTGTCCACCATATTTTGGGCAAATAGAGTCCATTTCAGACTTTTGCCAATTGATGCAGGGACACATCCTGCTAGGTGGGCAATGGTGGTAAGTACCCCATGTACACATTCCATGACAGCATCAGCGTTGTTGTATGGTGTTATCATATTCCAGCCTCAGAGATTCAATAAGATTTGACCAGAGCTTCTGAAATTCTGGGATGGGTATATTAGCCATGATTCAGGTTACCACTGCTGTTACTATAACAGTTAATTATATACAGGAACCACACAAAACATTTGTTCTGCATGGGCCCACAGTCAGGTCGCAGACTTCACTCAACACTAGTTGCACCAAACAGGAGAAGACTGAATTCGCTACATATACCTTACTCCTGTAAATTAGTGTAGATATTGTCTGCTGTTCATTCTTCTCACTATCAGTAACTGCAACAGCTAACTCCTCTTAGTCCCCTCCTCACTCAGCTCACTCTCTTGAAGAAGCCCACTTACTCATTGCTTTGCTAGTCCTTGTCAGACCACACAGAAAACACTATCACCAACAGTTCTTCTGTTCTCACGTGTTTATTCTTTGCCTAATAATGGTTCATTTGTTTGATGTAAGAACGAGTTTACTGTACCATTGCCTAGCAGTGGATGGCGTTTCTTTTTCATCTATGTAGTCTTATCAAAATATGATGTGTAACCGTGTAATTCAAGATGGAATCAGAAGCAGTGAACCACTGTACTGTGGCCCTGTCTTTGTACCATCTATCATGCCATGCTTGACAGACATTATACAAAAATGTCACCATGACAACAGTAGTGAAACTATTGATTTTAACACTTTGCGGACCGGTGATTTAAATATTTAAATCACCCTGGGGACCGGCATTTTTAAACATACTACCCTAACTTGTGCACTGTTCACTTTAAAAATTAATATAAAATCTCCTAATTAATTTTTTGAACTAAAATTTTTGGAGAACACTTACCAATGTTCCTAGAAGTGCTTGAGGTTCTGATATTTATGGAAACTTTCCCCTTTGTGAAGTGGCGTTACACAGAACTTGCAAATGTAGATATACTCCTTTTTTGTGAACTGTGCAAACATGGCATTGCCTAGAAGTATTCTTCCCCTTGGAATGTTCACTCTTCACTATTTTCACGAGGGTATTTTTCCACATATCACTCAAGTGTTGCCCTGGGGGGTCCACATGAGGCTTTCGTGGGGTGGGAGTTGATGGCCCCTGTCATACTAAGTCTATGTGTGACCCTGGTTCTGCCGCCATCATCTGGACTGTAGCCCAGGCCTTTGCCACATTCATCAGAAATGTTTTTATTTCAATTTTGAATCAGGGTTTCGATTTTTTTAGATTTTTTGCTGTCCCCTCAGTGTTACTACGCGCAATGTTATTACCCGCATTATCGTCAGAGCTACTGTCACTTTTACCGTCTGTGGCCACAATTCTTTGTTGTCCCCCGTCACTGTCGCTGTCTGAATGACAATCCATTACTATGTGTCTCACAAGGCAGGTCAGCTAGGTCATTGGAGGAGAATTTGTCCTTGATCCATTCTCCCCACTAGCTACTGGCTGATACACACAGCTTGAAGAAGACAAAGCATTTTCCTTTATAGTCGGTTAAGTAAACAGCAAGGTCAAGTTACTGACTGCTAACTAAACATTCCAGAGTCTTATCACACATCTGCAGGAGGTTGCGTGCAATGTAGGTGGCGCCAGAGCGATGTATAGTGTGTTGCAACTTATCATGTCCTAAAAGCCTGTTAACACGCGAACGGTCCGCCATGTTTAAAAGTGAAAAAACCTTTTAAAGGGTGCGCAGTCCGCAAAGTGTTAAGATGCACCTGACCCATATCCATAAGATCCAAAACATCAGTTTTACATCACCAGTTCACAGCTTTAGTTCTAACACATAACACGGTACCTTACACAGAAAAGATCTGAATTGTGTCCTCCAAATTATTTAGTAATGTCAATATGAAATACTGATTGCTTCTCCAAATTAAGCGTACATTACCACAGTTTATATGCTACACTGGTTGGTATAAAGCCATATTTGTTTTGAAAGGAACCACCAATATAGAGAGGATTAACGTGGGGTAAAAGTTCTGGCAGCAGGTAAGTAAAGCTTAAAAGTGTGTTACATTTGCTGCAGTTCCAAAAGAAATTGCTAGAGATATTTAACAAATTGTGGAAATATTTGAAAATATGGCAAAAGTAATGTGACATTGCAGGCCGATAGAGCTAAATGAAAATGTTATGCATGTTCTAAATTGTGTATACAAATTTATTCCTTATATCATTCATTATATGAGAGCCAGTTTGGCTTAGTCAGTATAATGAATTTGCTATGTGTTATATAAATGGAGAATTTATTCCTTATATCATTCATTATATGAGAGCCAGTTTGGCTTAGTCAGTATAATGATTTAGATTATTTCTTCACAAGCATGTCCAAGGTGATGAAGCATCTGGGATGTGAAACCGACCACTCACCTTCAACTAGTATGTGGAGTTATGCTTCCCCTCAGGCATACATCTTCATGATGTGGTCCTCATTTAATCATGGGGAGAGACTTCATGTACCCTGAATTAAGCACAGAAACAACTTTACCTTACTTTCATTATTCATTATTGAAAATTCAAGACATAAGTTCCAGTGCTTTTTCTTGGCTGGATTAAACAATATGATATACCTACTTGATAAATCAATCACTGTTTTTCAGTTGCACACAAAATAATTTCAAAAAAGGAATTTAAAATTAAATACATTTTCTGTTGTCCTTAAACCAATGCATTCAGCACCTTTATTTCTATGCAAAAAGAAAGCTTACAAGGTATAGTACACTTTCATAGTCATCATATTTTTTAAAGATCATGTTTCCTTACAAACAGGATGCAATAAATCGTGTGCGAACCCATCTAGTAAAAATCCGACATATCCAAGACACCCTACGTGCTTTTGAGGCAAGGGATAGAAACATTGCAGAAGGCAATTTTGTTCGAGTGAACTATTGGTCCATGATCCAGATTGCTGTGATGCTTTTTGTAGGATTAATACAGGTAAGAAGGGATAAATTGTCCTCTAATTTATGACTGATTAATTAGACTGTGGCCTTTCATAGATTCCTTTTGTCCTAGTTTTGTAACCCTACACCTCACTGCATTTTCTATATGTACCAGAGTAAATTCACCAAAATATGCTGGATGTAAGATTTCTCTCCAGTTTATCAAATGTATTGTGGCATGTAGACCCATTCCTAGTCTACAACCACGAAATTATCTATACAATGGTCATTACTAGGCAGTGACTTGTAAGCAGCAACAGAGGAACAGTGTTTTCCGTATAGTCCATGCTGAGATGTTATAAGCAGGACAATTTAGAGTCAGTCTGTCAGTCAGAGGACTCCTGCAGTTCAGTGATTGTTAGCTGATACTGTTAGAAGCTGGTAGCTGAGGCTGGGGACAGTTTTGGAACACACAGGAAGGGCAACATCTGTCATTGAAGCCACGACCAAGCAAATACTATTGAGGATGTGACAGGGTACACTAATGTGTGTGTAATAGTGAAATGTAAAATGCAGTTGTGTGCTGTATCAAAGAGTTCAGTAAATCTGATCAGCAATCCAAAATTCATCGGTACTCACTCTGTCATATGACAGTATCATTTTTCTGTTATCAGTACAATTATGTTTCCTTTTAAGTGTATGCTGTCAAATCGCAAGTGAAGTAATTGGTTCCTCTCACGCACTAGTGATACATTTATTTCATTGTTAAAATGCGTAATTTTTGTATTCTTTATGTAACAAATGGTGAAGTTGCATAGCAAGAGTCTACATGTTAATTTTAAAAGTAGAAGCATGCCACACCTGACAGACCTGAGCAAGCTGCTTCTGGCACATTAAGTACAAGGGCAAATCTAAAAGTCATTGCCCCTATTTTTTTTCAGCCACAATAATACACATACAGTAAAATCAAAATACAGGCAGTGTTCTAAGTACCTTTGACTATTTTTCCACATAGTCACCACTCCGGTTCAGGCATTTGTCCCATCGCACCACTAGTTTGGATTTGCCGCTGTTCTAGAATTTGGCTGGTTGAGCGTGGAACCACCACTGGACAGCGGTTTTTGCATCATCGTCAGAAACGAACCTCTGGCCTGCCAGGAACTTCTTCAGTGGACTGAACACATGGTAATCCCTGGGGGGCAAGGTCAGGACTATACGGTGCATGCTCCATAATCTCCCATCCAAATGACTGCAGTCAGGCAGCGGTCCTGTTTGCCACATGAGGCCTGGCATTATCATGGAGGAGACGTGTGAGTGTGCTACAATAGCTGTCTGCGTTGATGGTGGCACCTCGTGGCATGAAATCCAGCAGGACTGGTCCTCAGGAATCCCAGAACCATCAACTTCGCAACGGATGGTGTTCTGCAGAATTTCTTTGTGACAGATGAACCGGGATGTTTCCACACCATGCTCTGCTACTTGGATTCTGGAGTGAAATGCAATACCCATGTTTCATCTCCGGTGACAATGAGATCCAGGAACCATTCACCCTCCTCGGAGTAACGCTGCAAATGTTGCAGTGATGTCATCATTTTCTTGGCCTTGTTCAGATCATCCAACAGCTTAGGCACCCACCGACATGAAACCTTGTGATACCCCAAGGAATTGTGAATGATATCATAAACACTGCCATACAAAATGCCAGGCTTCTTGGAAACAACCTTCAGGTGCACACACCGATCCACTTTCACCATTGCATCCATGCAGGCATTGTTGTCCGGTGTGAGCAAGGTGCGAGGCCGCCCTGACCGCTCATTGTCATTAAGGTCTTCCCAGCCATTAGTGAACTCACAACACCACCACTGCACACTTCCAAAGCGAGACATTTGTCCCCATACATCAGCTGCATTTCCCTATGGATCTCGATGGGCGTTCGTCCCTTGCCCCATAGAAAATGAATAACACTTTGCTGCTCATATGACGTGAACGTGCTGAGCACAACAGCCATCTTCGCTGACTGACAGCGGCACAGTGCCATGGAGCAGCCGAGAGTTAATGCTGAGATGGTCCAAGCATACCCTGTTGCATTGAATGTATAACCCGGTTACTCAGTCACACTAAGATTTGGGCTGAAAAAAAATATGGGTAAAGACTTTTTGATTTGCCTTCGTAGTATGTACTTGATTCCATCCTCTTATTTATCAGGTTTGTCTTTAAATACACAGATAAAATTAATTTTCCTTGAAGCGTTTTTCTAAGTTGTACGAGTATTATGTGGAATTTGCTACATTGTTTCTCTTGTTATTCATAATAAAGGTAATAAATGTTCATCAATTTTTAGCTCAGACAGATTATTTTCTTACAATTTCTAGGCTACAAGCTGTCAGTAGTAAAATACTGTATGTTAATACACAGTATTTCAATTCTCCATATTCATGTTATGGCCAGAATATCTGATTGTAGTCATTAGATTAAAAAATATAATGTCCGCAACTTCAAACTTCTGAACACTTACTTTGCCATTACACTTTGCATTTGCTATATGTGTTATATTTCTTTAAAAGATAATCGGTGATTATAATGTATCATATTTTGTTACCTAGCTATTGGTTTTAATGAGTGCAATGCCATTTTAAATTCATAATATGAACTGTGACATTTTTCTGTGTTTTGATTTTGGTGATATGGCACAAAATGACTCATGGGAAAGGCATCTCTGTCACAAGAAGCAAGGTCCTTTTCAATTTTAAACTTGTTTACAGGTGGTAATGGTCAAAAGTTTGTTTGATGACAAGTCTCGTGTTCATCGCTTCTGGAAGAGTGGCATCACCTCTTGATGATGGCATTGTTTTTTCTAGTTCATAGTTTCCTGTGTTTGTTTTTAAACTGGCTTTTTACTGTGGTTACCATACACCTTACCAAATAAATGAGACAAGTTTTGTTGAAGCATTGTTTGATGAAGACTTCAGGTCTAAGAGTTTTGTTTTTAGCTCCCAGTCAAGAGGATTCAGCAGTGAAACAGTAGAGAAAGTAATGGAGTTCTCTGAAATTTAGTGTGAACCAAACTAATGTCAAGTATGTCAGTGATGTAAAGTAATACGGATTAAAATTATGCTTTATAGATGCAGGATATTAAAAATTGTGCAGATTGCATCTTAAGCAAGAAACTGCATAATAATAATTCTGGGAAACCAGTGTCAGCTCCATATTATTTTCCATTCTTGTCTAAATAAACTTAAGTTTTAATTACAGTCGTAATAATTCTCAATTTTATTGTAAGTTTGTGATAAATTTATATACAGTATATATCGTGTAGTGTATCTTACAAACATAATTTTGTGCCATTATAAGCAGCTCAGAAATTAAGAGCATCAAATGAACAAAGTTTTAAGTTGTTTGTATAGTGTATAGCAGTATATAGCATTAAATCTGAGAATTTGTTTTGAAACCTGGCTGCCTAAAAATGAAGGGGTGCCTAGAAATCCCTGAAGCGTCAATACGTTTTGCTGTTTCTGCTAATGTACCTGTATTCATTTTGTGTTCAGTAATATTTAGAGGAACTCTGTTATATATGAGATCACATTTCTTTGAAAGACATTTACCAGTCTTGTCCATAGTTCTCATCTTCTTCATGTGGTTACATGACTGCTAAAAATCAATGAACTTTCATGCTGAAAGTATACTTTACGCATTCTCTGTACTCTTCACCTGCAAGTGTTCCTGTCAGGTACATACAACCATAATGGTGTATTATTACAGTTTATGAATTACGTGTATCAATACGAAATGTTACATTGTATCATTTACTTGCAACACTTACCGTGGCAGTGTACCTTAGTTGAGATGTACAAATATTGAGTTTCATTTCTTTAGTAACAGTCTATTTTAGCAAAGTTCATTTGTCAACCTACAAACACAATCACTCTTTATTAAATGGCTCATACAAACATATTTCAGGACTCATTATAATATTAATACATTGTTGTTTATGCACAAATTTTCAAGGTACCAAACTTGAATTATTCTAGTAATTCTTCTCTACACCATTTCAATCAATATATTCTTTTTCTCATCCTTTAATACTTTGTGTTTTATATTATTTGGGCATTAAACTTATTCTTCATTGCTGAGTTCTTTTCTATATGTGTGTATTCTTAACTTGTTCCTGAATATTTGGTGATTCACCCTCTTCATTTGACTCATCATTCTCACTTCTAAAATTGACATGTAAGTAAATTTGATAAACTGTATCTGGTTCAGGTATATGCACCTCATCTTAAAACCCAGATTTTGAGCTAAACGATGTTTGCAAAATAGTTCGTGTTTTTTAAATTAACAATGTTAAATTTTCATGCTAATCAAGAAATTTAATATGTTTGAAATTTTTTATGCAAGAGGCAGTGGGCAGATGTTTCTGCACAAGCACATCACTTTTATTTTCAGTCGTATGTTAAGAAGGACTTTCTCAGTCTTGTTAATAAATAAATACTCTAGGGTTCTCTTTTGGCACATAAGGCCAGAAAGAAAAAAACTGTAATGGTATGCATATAGTCATACATAAGGAGAGATTGTATCATGAAGTAATTCTGTAAGAAGTTCAGTTTATGCATGGGCTCTGTACTAGGCAACCGTTTAGTTTATATCATATTTCTAATGGGAATATGTAAGAGTTAATTTGTTTTGTGTGTTTGCATTACAATATTTATTAGTCATGAGATGTTAGAAGAGAATTTGGATTGATAGCTATTGTTCTGTGTCTTCTTAGCTTTCAAACATATAGATGAGTAATGATTATTGCAGTTCTAAATACATTACAGTATACATCTTGTTACTTGTGATAATTGTGATGCAAGTTCATAATTAGGTTGTATGTAGTACATATGCAGTGTTTGATTGACAGAGCCTTGTATGTGAAAACTTGTAATTGATTATGTGGCTTTCCTAAATGTTTACAGTTATTTAACTCCTAGCCTGTATTGATATATTATAGTTTAGGATTTGCCACTGTTGGATATTTTTCAATTATACACTTTGTAGGTTATTTTCAAGAGTATATAATTTGTGAGCAGTCACCAGGTCTTGGAGTATAGAGGGTGGAGAGATAAAACTTTATGGATACTGCACCTCAGCACTAACTGGAGGTAAGTGGTCAGCTTCATGCTCCAGCTGGCTGTGAAGGTAATTGTATGAAAGAATGATGCATGACATGTATGTTGCAATTATTTTTTTCTGTAATAAATGACTTTGGTGCAGTTTGTGTAGATATTTCTTCAGCTAATATAAACAGAAATTGGAGAGTAGGGTATGTTACATGTGATTATAACATTCCTTTGTCTTACATTTTCAGAACTAACTGAAGTTCATAAAATTATCCTACTTTTAGAAATGAAGTTCACTGAAGTAACTGGCTGTGAGCCAAATTAAAGTGTTTGTTCGCAGGATGAACAGGGAGTTTTCTCTTTACCACAATAGTGAAGCATGTTCTCGGGGTCTTTTGGGCTCTTTGAGTGGGCTTAGATCTGCTAGAGCATAAAGCTGTTCACTCACTTCCATCCAGAACCAAAGTGTAGGATTTCCTTATGCCTCCTGTGCATCTGGGGCACGTGATGGCATAGTTGGTTGAGGCACTGTGCTGCAAGCCAGAAGGTTGCAGGATTGAATCCCAATGAGGTCATTGGATGTTTTCAATTTACGTAATCCTTCCAGCCACACTATGGCCCTGGGGTCGACTCACCCTCTAACAGAAATGAGTACCAGGAATATTCTTGGAATGTTCTTAGGGGTAAAGGGCGGCTGGCATGTAAGGCTGACAACCTTACCACCATCTATGAGCCGATTGCCTAGAAAATGTGGGAACCTCAACATCTCACAACCCTATAGGCCTTCATGGCCTGTTACAGGGGTACCTTTACTTTTTACTTTTACTCCTGACATGGTTCTTAGGCACAAGGGAAACCTTACCTGAACCTTTACACTTTCCTGTTAGAACTTGCCAGTTAGCCATCATGTCTCTGGAAAAATGTATTCTTGAGCAGAGTGATATAATATTTATATTATAATATATAATATTTATATTATATTTATATGTTTTGTATTGTGACTGTATCACAGTTCTGTCTGTCATTTGTGGAATGTTGTTCATTCTTCTAATGATCTATATATACTTTCATTTGGAAAGTTAATAGTAGCTGTCCAAATATGCACATAACATTTCTGCATGTTACATTGCAAGAGTAAGAATGTGAATGAAAGGAATTGGTTTGAGACACCCAAAATATAATGAACACATCCATGTATGTGTAATTGTAATTAAAATAAAAAAGGTGCATTAAAGAGGTCTAACCGTTCCGGCCTCCTTTTCCCATTTCTCACTTTTTATATTTAACACCTTCACCTACCTTGTTCTTATTAATTGCTCTTTCATCTCGCCCGCACACGTTGGTCTCTCTCGCTGTTCTTTCTTGCGCTAAATCTCAGGGTTTTTTGATCTTTGGATTAATTTATTGAGGATGTGGGTTTTGTTGGTCCGGTAGAGCTTGAGTCCTCTTATCCCAGAGCCTTGACGGGCCACAACTCAAAGAATGAAGAAAGAACACATACTATCCAAGCACAATTAAAATCTATATTTAATTATGTTTCACACACTTTTAGTTGCTTATTGCTGATCCACTTCTGAATATAACTTCAAATCAGTACTTTATCTTAATCTGCGGCACACACACATAACAAGTTACAAAGAAGCGGTGAATGACTGACTGACACGAAGTTTGCGTCTGATTTCTTCCCGGGCCTGTGTGTGACTCCTCGACAACTGACTCCACTTAGGACTATGAAGCCCTGGTTTCATTAGGCCTCGGCTCTGTCACACCCTCAAAATTTAGTGATTGGCTAGGTTTAAAAATCTGGAGCATCCGAATTACGTATTCCGCCAATCTTTTTCCTCATTGCAAGGCTTCTTGGCATTCTGACTTCTAACGGTATCCTGTCAGAATTTGATAGATTGCGAAGCGTTGCTTGGGCTATTTAACATCTCGCTTTCCAAAGTTATAGCTTGTACCAGTAAAATTTTATTGCCTTAACTAAAAGATTTCTTGCAGTTACTTTTTCGCGTAATATTTCTAAAGGTTTACAAGCCTCTTCCTGGCCTATTGTTCATGTATGAGAAGGACGCTAACTCCTCTACATGTAAGAACAGACCTATGTCTCCATACTTGTTCTTTGCATTCAACAATCAAACACTAAATTAATAAATTAAATTACATTGAAATTACAAGTAGGCTTCTTGGCAGTGGAACGGTTACATTTTAATAGTTTTTGTTATAAATTATGTTACCAACATTATTTGTTCTTTTTATAACTATTGGTAACTGAAAGTTAATAATACTTGGATTTGATGTAATTTGGTTTTTGTTTCATTTGCTTATCATCAGTTTGTACATGATAGGATAGTTATTACCACTATGAATCTGCAACAGGGTAAATAATGTTTCTGTGAAGATTTGTGACAGTAGTTTAGTGATTATACACTAAGTAGGATATTGTGCATTTTCTGATGACACCCTTCCTCCATAAGGGGAGTGGACATTTCGAGAAGCTGACCAAGAAATTCATCACTTATTATGAAATCCAAAACGTTCATTACCATGATTCTGTCTTGAGAGATAAGTGCCACTGGAAATATGCTTCCAATTTTTACATATTTCCTCATGTGATCTCTTCCCTTCAGACCTTCTAAAACTGTCTCTCCCATCCATGCTACATGTCCTCGTGTGATCCACATTGGCTAATGAATAAGAGCGGTTGTCTAGTCCAGGAATCAATGCAAGATTGATACTTCACAAGGTCCTAAGCTGCATTACAGACAAGGCTGCTATAATTCTATTAAAAGAGAATAATTATTAAACACTAAAGAATTTTAGTTGAATTATTATGATGGCAGGATTTTTCATGACAAAATAATTTAACCAAAGTGTGTAATAAATATTGTTTCAAATAAATGATCTATTGTGATAAAAATGATTGTATGTAAATTATTATAGTCACCATCATTAAGGACCATATTGGATTTGAGGATGTCATCGTGGTGTCTGTGAGTCTTCTTGGTTGTATTGCCATCTAGTTCAGAAACAGTCAAATGTTTCAGAGAAACATAGTGCCTCCATCTTCAGGATTGATGAAGAAGCCAAACAAGAAGCATGAATCAAGTAGAGCTTGGCTTGCTGCATGTTCTATATCCAATGGCTTTGGTAGCCTGTAAGGATCTATGGAAATGAAAATAAGATACAAGTTACATGCTACTTGCTGGTTTCCTGCTTGGCTTACTCTTCAACCCTCAAGCTGGAAGGACTGTTTTCTTCTGAAATGTTGGGATTACTCTGAACTACACAGACTTACAACCCAGAAGACAATACTCTTCATTAACATTCTGTGGTCCTGCTGAGAGAGATGTTTCAATGTTGCCAGGTCATTTCCCACTGTACCTCTATATAGTTGATATGGTACCAGCTAATTATACCATAATTCAATACATGCAGTGTGTTAATCATTAGTAAAGTAAAGTAAAGTTATCCCTGTAACAGGCCATGGAAGCCCATAGGGTTGTGAGATGTTGAGGTGCCCACATTTTCTAGACATTCGGCTCATAGATGGCAGTAAGGTTGTGAGCCCTATGTGCCGGCCGCCCTTTACTCCCAAGAACATTCCTGGTACTGATCTCTATTAGAGGCTGAGTGAACCACAGGGCCATAGTGCGGCTGGAAGGATTAGGTCAATTGAAAGAAATCCAGTTACCTCATTGGGACTTGAACCCGCGACCTTCCAGCTTGTAGCATAATGCCTCAACCAACTACACTACCGCGTGCCCCCGTTAATCATTAGTATTAAGGGTCTTTACCGGGTTTAGGTAAAGTTATTACGTTTGCTTCCTTCCAAGTATTTGGAAAATGAGAGAGCCGAAGGCAATGATTAAATAAATGAGTTAGGTGAACCAGTGGTCGCCTTGGAACATTTTGGATTCCATCAATTTGAAGGAAAATATCAATTTTTGTACGTCACATGGTCTGATCCTTTGAGGGGGCTTGTCTGCGGTTTCGAGCAGAGCTTGAACTGTAGCCTCCACTTGCCGTTCATGGTTATCGTCGCACAGATTGTGCGGTGTGAACTGATTTTCCAAACAATCAGCAATTGCATTAGCTTTTTCGAATGGGTGAAATTTAATGCCTGCAGCACCATGAATAGCAGTTGGTGCCCTTGGCCCATCCCTCTTTAGGAGGGATTTCGCAATTGGCCATATACCCTGAGGTGTGACTTCAGCATTACCTATTTTTGTTTCCCACCGTTCAAGTGCCTTTTTTCGGGTCATTCGCCTGATTGACTTTGTAACCCAATTTAGTGCCGTCTTACACGCTGGATCCCTGGTTTCTTGCCACAATTTTCGTAGCCTCTGCTTATGTTTTAACAGGCGACCTAGACCAGGAAGATCGTTGTTTATGCCCGAAAGTGTAACTTTTCTTGTGGACAACCTATATGCCCAAGCAATAAGAGGCTGCAAAGTTGCGCGCCGCTTTATCGGCTTCTACCCCAGACGTGATTTCTATTTTAGGTGATATTAACTCCGAGGCGAGGCTTTGAAACCGCTCCCAATCTGTGAATTTTTCGAAAGGTTCCTAATTCTAACATGATCCAGTATGTGGAATACTATTGGTAGGTGATCTGAATCCAAAATATCGGAGACATCTGATATTTTGGTGGTCCACAATATCCAGCACGTCACCATTTCCCGTAGGGGAATAATGAGTGGGGCATTGTGGTGCTGAAATTTCGAAATCAATCATATCAAATAAATCCATGAGTTTCAAGCCTGAGGGGTTTGAAACTTTGCTATTCCAAAATGGATGCTTAGCATTCAAATCACCTGCCAAAATAGACTTACGTCTAAAGCTAAAGAGCTCTGCGATGTCAGCATCACTCCAGGCCCTGCCTGGGGATTTATAAACAGCTGCAAGCAGTACTTCACTATTACCAGTTGGTATGCAGACCCCTGTTGCTTCTACTGAAATAAGGGGTGGTAGGTCTACGTGGTTATGGGGGATGCCTTTCCTAACTGTAACGGCAGTTCCGCCTTTTCTGCCTGAGTGGCGGTAAGTTCTATAAATGTGGTAATTTGGAAGAAAAAATCTCACGAGGTTTCAGATGTGTCTCTGAAAACAGGGCCACATCTATGCGTAGGTCTTGCAGCTGTTTACTGAGCTCATAGCGCTGCCTCCAAATGCCGTTCGCATTAAATACTATGATTTTGAGTGGACTATGAACTCGAGTGGCCATTTTGTTTCATGAGATTTAATACAGTTTTTGTAATGGCATTTATTTTGTCCTCTTCAGACTGCACCATTGATCTCTGTCATGATCTGCTGTACTGCAGTCACAACTCTCAAAATATTGTCGAGAGGTTGACTATTTGCATGAGGAGCCTGAACTGACTGACCTGTGTCTTTCTGCAATGAAGGGGCCGGTACATTTTGTTGTTTTGTTACTGCAGGGCAAGCCATTGGAGCAGGGTTTGCCTGTGGTCGCTGTTGTTCTGCGTTGCCACGAAGGACACGCCTGGGGTGACAAAGTTCGATGAGAACACCCTCTCCGTAGCAGTTTTCGGCGTTCTGTTCGCCTTCCTTTTTTGCAGCTCTTCCCTGGCTTGTCTACAACCCAGATAGTTGGCTGGATGTGGCTTGTCTCCCTCTGCCAACCGGCAGTTGCAGCATGTTGGGGTGGAAGCAGCGTTTCCCTTCTCTGGGCTTTCCTTATGCAGGTGGCCGCCTCCGCACCAAAAACAGCGTGGAGGTTGTTTACAATTAGCCCAGACGTGGCCAAACTGTTGGCAGTTATGACATTGCATAAGTCCAGTCTGAGCTCTATACGTCTCCACCTTGATTGATATGTGGCAAAGGCTAGGCAGATTGAATATTTCCTGTGATTTTGCCGTCCTCGGCAAGGTTATCAGGAGCAAGGGAAGGTTCCTGGTTATTGCTTCTTCAGATTTGGATCGACGGGTTGTCATTTGTTTGACGCTAACAACATCGAGGCCCCGGTGTGTCAGACCTTCTGAGATGTCTTGTGCAGGTGTATTGATGGGAAGGTGTCGGATTACTGCCTTAACAGGCTTCTGGGATTTTGGGAGGAAGGAATAATATGCTAGGTTATTGTTGATGAAATGTGACTTGATGGCTTCGAAATCCGCCATGTCTTTCGTAACGACTCTGGTTCCGTTTCTTGTGCTACGGAACAGGAAGTCGTCCTTGACTACCTTTTTCAGCTTCTTTTGCAATTGTATGAGATTCGTAGTTGATATCAGTATTATTGGAGGCGGACTACCTGCTTTGCCAGAGACTTCCTCCTCGGGTGTGGCGGTCTCTGCACTACTGCTGTCAGTTTCCATTGATGTTTTCAGGGGGGCGAAGAAGTTGCGGTTGGCAACCTCTTTAGGGGGCGTAATTTCAGCGGCTATCACTTTTTTCTTCGAGGTCGGGGCGGCCTCATTGGTACCGTGCTGCTTGCGCCGCCGGATTTCTTTGAAGCCGTCCTCCTGGTTTGAAGGGGATTCGGTTTCCTCAGACTGAGCAGTTTGACTGCTCGCCTTCTGCACGGCCTTTAACTTCAGTAAGGCGACTGTGTATGTGCCATACATGGCACTAAACAGGATCTTCTCTGTTAGAACCTGGCAGTAGTTTTGGCCGTTTTCGTGCGCCTCGCTGACGATGGATGACCACTTCTCGCTGTCACCTATTGAAGCTGGAGTGCTCCCTGCCACGTCCTCGATGTCGCGGAGTATCTGGAGGAGGTGTTTCAGCTGCGCATCTGCGTCGGGAAACTCATCTACCAGCTGCTGGTACTGTGATTCTAGCGTCTGACTCTTCGTGGTCCAATGTGCCCGGTATCCCGGCACTGGGATGGCGGCCATATTTGGCTCCACTGTTTTTGTCTCGTGTTCACTCACTTCAGTTTTTGAAGAACCACTATCAACAATGCATAAATAATAGTAATCCGATGTCGCAGACTCCACTCTTCACTGTTCAGCTACAATCGATGTGAACACACACCTAACTGCCAATAATCTCGACCCACAGTCTCACACACACAAGCAGTGGACAAACACTTGAACTAAGGAATCAACGAAATTATTCCCACCGACTCAACTCAGTCTTTCACTCTCTAATCCGACTCGCTGACTCTCACTCTCCACTCCTGATCACACACTGCTCACTCTTCCTACTTCAACTCCTGTGCGACACTCTAATTGTCCTGGATATAACATCTCTGCATGGGCCACACAGAAAACGTTTCTCTGTTGCTGTATGCAATTGTTGCTTCTGCAGCCGTCGGCGCGAACCGCGCAGAAAACACCATTACTCTGTTGCTGTTTACGGGCCGTTGTCTGATTGTTTCACAGTAGTTACCTAGCAACGGTTCTATGTGCCACAATGCTGTGTACACAGCGATTTACCCATCGTCATACCGAAAGTATGCCGTCTTCTCTATATTAACTGTGGTCCCCAGGCACGGGATTATATCAGCAGAAAGTTAGGAAATGCGCAGGAATGTTCAGAAATTGTCTCTGACCTCCAAAAATCCGACGGCATGAAAGGTGTAACAGGAGGGAGAACGATGTGATATGTTACTGAATTATATTACTTTTGTATCGTTAAACCGCTAAAAAGAAAGAGTTCTGAAAGATGTGACAGTCAAACGTTCAGTGTGTATAAAATATGCATAGCTGTTGGGAGCGGGGGTTGTGAGTGTCGAACAGAATTATAATCATTTTTAGTTCTTTCGAACGCAACCGCCTAAATAAAGGTGATAGTACCTCCGCAGCAGACAGTGGCGCTTTCGTGGATAATGGGCCATGTTATTGATCCGTGATGTGTAATGCATGTTCAGATCGTTTAAGATTATTCTTTGTCTGTGAAATACGGTCTGAGCCGTCTGAGCAGCGGCATTTTTATCTTTATTTGGAAGTGGCTGAGAACGGCTGAGAATATTAATTTGTGTGTTCGATAATAGTTTTAATATGATACAGGGGGTGTGCTGACATTTGTTTCGTTACATCATGGTACTGAAAGTTAATCGAATATGAGCAAGGTGGAAGAATTGGCGTTAGATACGAAAGGATGTGTGGTTTCATATTCCTCCTCCTCGTATGGTGATTACAACGGATGTTCGTCGAAAATAATCGATGGGTTAGTATGCTGACGAATTTAGGGATGTGTCATTCGAAGATAAATGGCTGCTCTGAGAATTATATTATTTACATGAAAAAATATCTTGAGATGCTGACATGCCGGTTACCGTGCTAGCTTTCTGTCATGCTCTTCACTTGACCAAGGTATCGACGAGGTACCGCATTAACTTAAGACCAATTCAGTGCCACTGAGTAAAACGTATATATACCCTTGTGTAAGTCAAATACAGTGATCGTTTGCAGGGATTGGGTAGGTTGTAATAATATCACTTAAAATTAATCATGATTGGCAGCTAGAAGGGAGAAAACAGGCAAAGAGAATGAAATGCCACTATAATATGAGTAACACATTAGTAGCAACAGAACTCTGTGCATGAGTGAAAATCGTACCATTTCATGTATATTGTTACAGTTGTGATACTATAATAATTGCAAACTTGAAATTTTATGCAAATATATGTAATTGGTGTATTTTAAAATTCTTCCCCATACCTTTTATTTCATTGAAACTGTGTGAATCTGTGAATGTTGTTGGATCACTGTGCAGTATTTCAGGAAATGATTTATGGTGATTGCACAAGTAAGGCTATGTAAATAAAGGTAATGTAGACTTGCCCAGAGCTTTCCACATTGTAGATCTTGGCTGTAGTTGGAGGTAAATTGTCATCGTCATTCTTTACCTCAGTAGAAAGATCCAGTGTTACTCATTTGATGTGAAGGTATATGGTCCAAGAACTGGTCTGGGTATGAGAAATTCCATGTCCCTGTTGGAAATTGAACTCTAGTCATCCAGGATATAGATAATAATTTTAGTGGCATGAGGTATTGTATCTTATCTATTTATTTACTTCATATTCATGGATCATTATACATGATACAGGACAAGTCAAATACATGCACTTTACAGTAATAAATAATAATATAAATTGATTAGAACTAGGATTTTCCCCCGAACAAGAGAAACTCGTCTATACTATAGAAACAATGATCAAGTAGGAATGTCTTCAAAGTCTTTTTAAACTTGTATAGTACTGGTATCTCTTTAATATATTGTGGCAACTGATTTAACGTATGAAGTCCAATATTATTGAAATTGTTTTTGTATAGACTCATATTACATGGCACTATGAACAAGTCCTCTTTTCTCCTTGTATTGTGCAAGTGTATTCCTGAATTGGTTATGAAAACATTCAAATTGGTTTTTATGTAAACTAGAATTTCATGCATATACAGACATCGTAAAGGTAATATATGTAACGATTTAAAATACTGTTTACAACTAATGGTTTTCGGGATTTGTATCATAGCTCTAATAACTCTCTTCTGCAACCTAAAGATTAATTTTGCATTTCCTGAATTTCCCCAAAATATCAATCCATATAATAACAAGGATTGAAAATAAGCATAATATAAGGTGTGAACAGTCTCTAACCCTGATACTCTTTTGACTACTCATAAGGCAAAACATATTTTACATAATTTATTTGCTAGTCGTTGAATGTGTGCAGTCCACCTTATTTCTTATCCAACCAAACTCCCAAAAATTTTGTATGTTCTATATAGTTGATGACTGTGTCATAGACCTTTACTGATGGGCATTCGACTTGTACTTTTTTAGGCTGGTGAAAGGATATTGCTGTTGTTTTATCTTTATTAATAATTAATCTATTCCTTTCAAACCAGTCTGTGAGTGCATTTATTGTTTTATTTATTTGGACATCATTAGCACTATTTCCTGTTACAAGGATACTAGTATCGTCGGTCTTCCATGTTCAATGCCAGCTTCTAGATCATTGATATGTAGCAAAAACAACACTGGTCCGAGAACAGAACGTTGTGGGACTCCATGTTTTATGGGTCTCTTTCGCAATAGATAATTAGTGATTTCATTTGTTTCTTTACATATATATGTAGTTTCCACTTTTTGTTCCCTGTTTTCTAGATATGATTGAAACCATTTTAGTGAAACCCCTCTTATACCCATTCTTGTCATCTTCCTTAGCAATATATCAGGATCAACTAAGCTCATATTGCAAAACATAGTGTTTAAATTATTTAAAGTAACTTTCAAGATTTAATATTCTCATTTTATATGGTAGATAATTACCAACATTTTAGAAAAAAATGTGGCCTCCATCTGTAGGGTAGAAGGTGGAGGCGGTGTGTTCATCTGAAACATTAGTAACAGTGTATGAGACTCCGTGGTATTACATCCACAGAAGATAGTTATCTTCACATTAATTTCCATTAAATTTCCTCTTTAACAGTACTGCCTAAAAAAGGGTAAAAACGAAACAGCAGGGAAATAAATGGGTTACCTCAGGAATAAGGGTATTGGGGAATAGACTCAGGTTTCTTAATAGTCTAATGACAGAAGAAAATATGCCAGAAGAATTTAAAGAATACTGTTGTCATTACAAGAAAATATACAACAAAGTTATCAGTGAAGCAACTAGTAACATGTGAATAAGAGCATCAGGGAATAAATCAAAAGCCATGTGGGAGCTAGTTAAGGTGGAACTAGGTAAACAGAAAAGAGCAACAAAGAATATTGAAATAAGCGAGAATGCAGTAAATGTACAAGATCCAAAAGCTACAGCCACTGTCTTTAATGAATACTATACCAGTATTTCCCAAAAGGTATTGAGTGACAATCTATTATCCAAAACCAATGAAGTTAATGTCAATACAGTAAAATATGATATCGGGTGCTTCACTCGGGGCGGAACCTGGCATTTTGTTAATAACTCGGATACAAATAAAGATATTGCAATGAAATTTGGAGTGGACTTACCTCAGTTCATGTGAAGTCTGGTGACATCATAACAAATGCTGGAAATGGCCACCATTTGCGTCCAGACAACATTGGACTCGGCTCGCCATGTTTTGAAAAGTCCTTGCCCGTACATCAGGTGTCACTTCTTGGATGGCCTCACTTATGTTTGCTTTTAAAGCCTCTATGGTTCACGGTTTGTTGGCGTAAACTTGCGCTTTCAAATGTCCCCACAAAAAATAATCAGGCGGCGTTAGATCGGGCGAGCGCAGTGGCCAATGTCCCCTGGAAATGATGCGGTCGCTGAAAAAGACTGGATTTCGGCCATGCTTGCGCAAGAGGTGTGTGCTGTTGCTCCATCCTGCTGGAAATAACCGATGGATAATTCCTCATCGTCCAGTTGATTCACAAAGCAGTGGAAGGTATCTAGGTACGCTGCTGTTGTGATTGTTGTGTCGAAGAAGATGGGTCCACTTATGTGCCGCCGGGAAATTCCACACCAAACACCAATCTTCTTGGAATGAAGGGGTTCTTTGTGTATCGCATTGGGATTCTCACTTGGCCAAATGCGACAATTTTGCGAATTAACGTATCCGGAAAGCTGGAACCACGCTTCGTCCGAAAACCAAGTTTAGTCCAGAATGTCCGGATTATCCTGGACAAGGGTCTGTAACCATTGACAATACACCACTCTCTTCGCGTAATCTGGCTCTTTTAACTCGTGCGCCACGGAGATTCGGTATGCATGAAGCTTAGATTTCTTCGCAGCATGATAGCAAGTGCTTGTCGAAAGACCTGATTCCTGCGAAACTCGGCGCAATGACTTCTTAGGAGACGCCAGCAATCAGGCCTTCACATCCTGGATCGTTTCTGCTGACATTGCTGGACGACCTCCTGTGTGCTGATCCAAAAGTGCCCTTGGTTTCAAGTTTTTTGGACAAGGCCCAAATTCTGGACTTACTCGGCAGAACTCTGCCTCCAAACTTCGCCAGGAATTGTTGACATGCCTTGATGGATTCTGTTTTCCAATATGTGCGCACAATAAACACTCGCTGCTCCAGAGTGTACCGATCCATTTTTCCATTGTGTATGCACAACATGGCGCGCAAAGTCCAATGCTCTCTGGACACAAATGGTGGCCATTTTCAGCACTTGTTATGATGTCACCAGACTTCACATGAACTGAGGTAAGTCCACTCCAAATTTCGTTGCAATATCTTTATTAGTATCTGAGTTATTAACGAAATGCTGGGTTCCGCCCCGAGTGAAACACCCTTTAGTAGCAGCATGTTCTTAACCCCAACTACTGAAGAGGTAGTGGCAGGCATAATTAAAGGATAGAGTAATAAAAAATCAACAGGAATAGATGATATTGCAGTGTACATTGTTAAAAAGTGTTATCCAAAAATAACAACTGCTTCGACACACATGATAAATCTGTTTCTCACAACTGGGCATTTTCCTGATCAACTAAAAATTGCAAAAGTGAAACCTTTGTATAAGAAAGGATGTGATACAGAAGTTGGGAATTAAAGAGTGTTTCACTAATTTCTGTTTTTTTTTTTTTCAAAAATAATAGAAAAAATCATACATAAAAGACATTTATCATTTTTTAATAATCACAGCATAATTAACAATAAACAGCATGGTTTCTGT